AGAGACCTCCTGAGATGCAGGAGTGTTTGAGAGAGAGGGGATTAGAGGGACCTCCCCAGATAAAGGAGTATCAGAGAGACAGAGAGAGAGAGCGAGAGAACATTAGAGACACCTCCCCAGATACAGGAGTGTCAGAGAGAGAGGGGTTTAGAGACACATATCCAGATGCAGGAGTATGTGAGAGAGAGAGAGAGGGTTAGAGAGACCTTCCTAGAAACAGGAGTGAGAGAGAGAGAGAAAGAGAGAGACAGGGTTAGAGAGAGCTCCCCAGACACAGAATGAGAGAGAAAGACTGGGAGGGGGTGCGATTAAAGAAACCCCCGCCCCCACCCTGTCCCCAAGATACAGGAGAGTGTGAAAGAGAAAAGAAAAGAGAGGAAGAGAGAAAGGACGAGAGAGAAAGACATAGCGAGAGAAAAATCTCCCCAGATAAAGGAGTGCTGGAGTGGGTTTGAAGTGACCTCCCCAGATACATGAGTCTATGTGTGTGAGAGAGACAGACACAGAGTGAGAGACCTCCCCAGGTATAGGATTGTGAGAGTGAAAGAGGGATTAGGGAGATCTCCCCAGGTAAAGGACACTGAGAGTGAAAGAAGGATTAGAGAGATCTCCTCAGATACAGGAGTGAGAGAGATGGTATTGGAGAGATCTTCCCAGATACAGAAGTGTGGAAGAGAGAGAGGAGTGGGAGGGTGGGATGTTAGAGAGACCTCCCAATTAAAGGAGTATGAGAAAGCGAGAGAGAGGGCTGGAGAGACCTCCATAGATATAGAAATGAGTGACAGAGGAAGGGATGGGTTTAGAGAACCACCTCAGTCACAGTATTGTGTGTGAGAGAGAGGGTTAGACAGGAGTATGAGAGAGAGAAAGTTAGACAGACCTCCCCAGACACAGGAGTGTGAGAGTTAGTTGGTTAGAGAGAACTCCCAAGATACAGGGAGATAGCAAGAAATGCAGATGCTGGAGTCAAAGACAAGACAGTGTGGAGTTGGAGGAACACAGCAGGTCAGGCAGCATCAGAGGAACAGGAAAGTTGACATTTTGGGTTGGTACCCTTCTTCGGAAATTTCCTGCTCTTATGATGATCCTTGACCTGCTGTGTTCCTCCAGATCCACACTGTATTGTCCCAAGATACAGGAGTGAGAGAGATAGAGAAGGTTTGAGAGGCTGCTCCAGATGCAGGAGAGTGAGGAAGGAAAGGTTAGAGATATCTCTCCAGGTGTAGCAGTATGAGCAAGAGAGAGGGGTAGAGATCTCACCAGATTTAGGAGTGAGAGAAAGGAGATGAGAGAGACATTCCCAAATACGGAAGATTGTGTAAGAGAGGAAGACGGTTAGATAGACCTCTCCAGATACAGGAGTGTAGTGGAGGTGGGGGGTGGTGGTGGGCATTAGAGAGACATCCCCCATTAAAGGAGTGTGAGAAAAGAGAGAGAGAGGGTTGGAGAGATCTCCACAGATACAGGAATGAGAGAGATAGGGAGGGGTTAGAGAGACCACCTCAGAGACAGCAGTATGTGAGAGAGAGGGTTAAAGAGACCACCCCAGATTAGGGAATGAGGGGTGCGGGGTTAGAGACACCTTCCCAGATACAGAAGAATGTGTGAGAGAGGGAGAAGGTTAGCGAGAAGTCCACTGATACAGGAGTGAAAAAGTGAGGGATGAGGGGGTTAGAGAGACCTCCCCAGATACAAGAGAGAGTGTGTGTGTGTGTGTGTGTGTGAGAGAGAGAGAGAGAACGGGTTAGGGAGACCTCCCCAGATACAATAATGTGTGAGATTGAGTTGGCGAGACCTTTCCAGATCCAGGGGTATGAGAGGGAGATAGGAGGTTAGAGAGACCGCCCTGAGACAGGAGTGTGTGAGAGAAAGGGATGGTTAGAGAGAGATCTCCCAGGATACAGGAGTGTGAGTGTGTGTGTGTGAGAGAGAAAGAGGTGATTAGAGAGACCTCCCCAGATACAGGAGTGTGTGTATGTGTGTGGGAGAGAGGGAGAGAAAGAGAGAGGTTTAGAGAGACCTCCCCAGATGCAAATGTGGTTTCATAGAATCCCTACAGTCCACACTGACTATTGCAAGAGCATCTCACCTACACCTAACCCCTTACCCTATCCCTGTAATTTCCCATGGCTAATGCACCTAACCTTCACATCCATGAAAACTATGGATAATTTACCATGGTCATTCCACCTTCCTGCACATCTTTGTATTGTGGGAGGAAATCGGAGCACCCGGAGGAAACCCACGCGGGCATGGGGAGAATGTGCAAACTTCCATAGAACTTGGGTCCCTGGCGCTGTTTGAGAGAGAGAAGGTTAGGGAGACCTCCCAGATACAGGAGTGTGACAGTGAGTGGGTTCGAGAGACCTCCCAAGTTACAGGAGTGTGAGAGAGAGAGTGTGTCCCAGATACAGGTGAGTAAGGAAGAGAGGGTTACAGATATCTCCCCAGATACAGCATTGTGTGAGAGAGATAGAGATAGAGATACAGGAACAGGTGTGTGTGTGTGTGCGTGTGTGTGCGAGAGAGAGAGAGAGTTAGAAATGATCTCCCCAGATTTAGGAATGACAGAGAGGGGATTAGAGAGACCTTCCCACATAAGAAGAGTGTGTGAGAGAGGGAGAGGGTTAGTGAGACCTCCACACATACAGGAGTGAGAAAGTGAGGCAATTAGAGAGACCTCCCCAGGTGTAAGAGGATGTGAGAGAGAGGGTTAAAAAGACCTCTCCAGATACACGAGTGAGGGGGATAGAGAGAGGGTTCAGTGAGACCTCCCCCATTAAAGGTGTGTGTGAGAGAGGGAGGGGTTAGAGAGACCACCCCAGAGATTGCTGTGTGTGTGTGTGTGTGTGAGACCGCCCCTGATACAGGACCGTGTGAGAGAGAGTGTGTTAGAGAGACATCCTCAGCTACAGGTGTGTATGAGATAGAAAGGGTTGGAGAGACCTCCACAGGTCCAGGAATGAGAGATAAAGGGAGGGGTTGGAGAGACCACCCAAGAGACTGCATTATGTAAGAGACAGAGGGTTAGAGGGACCACCCTAATACAGATGAGTATGAGAGGGGGTTAGAGAGACTCCCAGAAGATACAGGACTGTGTGTATGTGTGAGAAAGAGAGAGAGGTTTAGAGAGGCATCCCAAGATATAGTAGTTCAGATGAGAGATAGGGTTAGAGAGATCTTTCCAGATGAGGAGTGAGACCCCATTACAGGGACTGAATGTCTGAGTCGCTGCCTTCTCTCAAAGGTGCTTGGATTCCATACTTTCAGTACCTGATTTAGACGAGATCTGGTTTCATATCCGGTAGGACAGCTTTGAGTCGCACGCAAGTCACCTTTCTCCTTCTCCTAATCCTAACGCTCCACACCAACAATACATCAGCACTAAGAATGAGGACTAGGTGTATACTGTTCAGTCCCTTAAACTTGTTTTTGTCATTTGAGACCATATCTGATGTGGTAACCTGAACTCCACTTTCCAGTGGCTCTCCCTCCCTTCCTGATCAAAACTCTGTCTAACTCAGCCTTGAATATGTTCACTGCCCCCACCCTGCTATACACATACATACATACACACACGCACACACACATCCATGCACCCCCAACACTGCTGTTTGAGGGGGAGAGAATTACAAACACTCCCCACCCTCTGTGAGAATAAATTCCACCTTTTCTCAGTCTTAAACAGGAGACCCTTTAGTTTTAAGCTCTGCTTCCCCGTTCTAGACTCCCCCACAAGGGGTAAGCCCTCTCAGTAGCCACCCTGTCCGTCCCTGTCCTCAGAATCTTATATGTTCAATAAGGTCACCTCTCATTTCTCCGAAACTCCAATGAGGCCAGGCCCAACCTGCTCAAACCTCTCCTCATTAGATAGAACCCCCTTCATCACAGGAATAAGCTGAGTGAACCTTCCTCTGACCTGCTGCCCGTGATGGTGTGTGCCTCGTTCAATAAGGGGGCCATAACCACGCAGCTACTCCATGTGAAACCTCTCCAATATCCTGTACTGTTGTAGCGAGGCATCCCGACTTTTATCCTCCATCCCCTGTTTCACAAATGGTCTCCAGATAATCAGCTTTCCCAGTCATTCGCTGCATCCGTGCACTAACTGTGAGTCATAGACTCATAGAGAAAGGCCCTTCAGCCCATCATGTCTGAGCCAGTCAAAAACAACCACCTAACTATTCTAATCCCATTTCCCAGCTCTTGGCACATGTGTATGCCTTAGCATCACAATGTACATCTAAACACTTATTAGAGTCATAGAGTCGTCCATGCTGACCAAGTTTCCCAAACTAAACTAGTCCCATTTGCCTGCATTTGGCCCATATCCCTCTGAACCTTTCCTGTTCATGTACCTGTCCAAATGTCTTTTAAATATTGTAACTGTACCTGCATCTACCACTTCCTCTGGCAGTTCATTCCACACATGAACCACCCTCTGTGTGAAAAATTTACCCCTCAGGTCCCTTTTAAATCTTTCTCCTCTCACTTTAAAAATATGACTCCCAGCTTTGAACTCCTTTACCTAAGGGAAAAGACCTTTGCTATTCATCTTATCTAAGCCCTTCATGATTTTGTAAACCTTTGTAAGGTCACCCCTCAACCCAATTTGCTGAGGGTTTCTGCCTCTATCATCCTTGTAGTAAGTTCTAGGTTCACATCACCCTCTGGGTGAAAATACTTTTCCTCACATCTTGAAACCTCTAGCCTCTTACCTTCAATCAGTACCCCCTCGTCATTGATCTCTCCATCAAGGGGAAAAAAATTATTCCTGTCTACTCTATCTGTACCCTTCATCATCATGTATGCATCAAACATTGTCCTTTTCTCATTCCCTTCTGCTCCGAGGAAAACAACCCCAGCCAAACCAATCTCTGTCTTCATAACTGAAACTGTCCAGCTCAGGCAACATCCTGGTAAATTTCTGCACCCTCTCCAGTTCCATCATATCACTCCTATAATGTGGAATCCAGAACTGGAAACAAAACTCTAACCCGGATCTGACTGTATCTCAGCGTCCTGCAGTTGCTTTTCACTTTAGGACCATTCTGTGTTGTTTGTATTCCATGCACACCCCTGTGCTAAACTGTAGCTACATCCTGGCTGCCCACTTCAGTCCCGACCAGTTTTTAATGTGTTACTCAGCCACCATGACTATGGATGATGTGGAAAAATTTCACATCCACCCAGAAACAACCAATCTCCCTCCCCTCCAGCCACAGCCGTGTCCCCACCACAGAAAGTCTGAAAGAACGTACCTCTCCTGATACTTGGTTTCCTTCTTATGATAAAGGAGTAGCTCCTTGATGTACTGCGGAGGTCGGAGACCCATCCGGTTAGCTCGTTCCCACCTCTCCATTCGCGTGATACCTGTGCAGGAGGGGATGGACGTGGAGTAGAAACAGGCAAAGAATTGGGCAATTATTCACAAGATGCAAAACACTCAAACGGCAGAATTTGCATCACCTTTGTATACTGATGTGCTGTGAAAAGGGGTTGCCATTGAGAGAAAGGTTGCGCCAAACTTCAATAAAGCGGTGATTAGAAAGTAATTCAAAGAACTAGAGATTGGCTGCAGGGCAGAATGAGGCCCTTCGCCCCTTGTATCATGCGAGTCCTCTGAGGGAGCAATTTATCGGGTGAGTTTCAACTTGTTCCCTCCACCCAACTTCTCAGATATTGACCCGATTCCATTTTGCAGCCTCGATTGATGCTGCCTTCCCCACACTCTCAGGCAGCACGTTCCAGATCCTAACACTTGATTGTCCCTGCCTCCCCCACACTCTCATGCACCACGTTCTAGACCCTAACCCCTCGATTGACATTGCCTCCCCCACACTCTCAGGCAGCACGGACCAGACCCTAACTCCTTAATTGACCCTTACTTCCCCCACACTTTCAGGCAGCACATTCCAGAAGCTAATCAGTCAAAGAGAGAGGGAGGAGTGATGGGGCTGGAGGAGGTTATAGAGATAGGGAAGGGTGTATGGGCCAAACATGGTTATAGAGATACGAAAGGGTGAAGAGTGTAGAGTTTCTAATTATTAAGCTTTGTGATTATTTAGGGCCTGAATTCAGTCTCGCCATGAACCCTCGCTGCTCTCAGTCTGGCGGTCCTTCACATCTGACAGTTACTGTGGATATGAGACACCTGAGGACATGTGGCATTTGAGAATTGTCGGTATCTACGCTGATGTGGGTCGTACAAAAGCCCACTATATTGTGCTGTGTGGGAGAAATCGAGATGGGACTGAAGTGAGAAGGCATTCAGAGGAGACAGAGAACCCATAGGCACCATGCCAAAAGGAAATGGCCCAAGGATCCAGTCCGAGCATAGTGTTTACCCCAAATTTTGAAGTGAGGCCCAGTACACACAAGACTGCTGGCTCTATGCTGGGCCTTGTGTTGAGTTGCCTGATCTCCATCAGACTGTGGGATAATGAGGCCTAATCCATACAGCAAGAGATTCGTACAGAGCTTGGGGAAGAGCAGGCTGCGTGGTGGTGGTGTGGGGGGTGGGGGGGGGGGGGGGGGGGTAATGTGATCGGGACTAATCAGAAGGGGCGGAATGGTCTTGGCCAACTGCTGAAAGAGGTTTTCAGGCTGTAACCTACCACAACATGGGCCGTACTCCCAATGTAGATCGAAGGCCTTGAGCATCTCGAGGTGGTCCCTGCTCGGGCACAGAGTTGCTGCCGTGTCCGTGAGGCCTGTGGAAGAGGAGGAGGGGAGGTTAGTGGTGGGGGCACGATAAGAGAGAAATGGTCAAACCGAGGAGTCTGTCATCGACCAATCCCTCCAAAGTTCACCTTCCTGCTCCCTGCTCCGCCCCTAATGCCTGACCTCTTTCACTGCCCCTCCCTGTACTGTCTCTCTCACACCCTTCTACAGCCGCTTCCCCATTCCCACCACTGTGACCCTCTCCTTCTCCCATTCACCTCCGTTGCTTGGCTCCCTCTTTAGTGTTGGCACTGCCCTCTGGCCTCTTTTGACGACAGGGTACGTGCTTGTGACCTGTGACTGCATTCTGTAGTCCCAACTCCAAACAGAACGTCTGGCAAAGGGGTCGGCTTTGTCGTGAGGGGACAAGGTGAGAGATGAAAGATTGGGGAACAGAGAGAGGGAGGGAGAGGTGTGGCAGAAAGATAGGGACAAAAGAGGGGGATTAGGGTTTAGAGGTATGGAGAGAGATCTGGACAGATGGAAGGTCAGGTACAGAGGGACCGGGAGAAAGAGGGATAGAGAAAGATGTGATGGATGGAGAGGCAGTCCGACGGTGAGGGACAGTTTCTGGTGAACTGAGCGCAGCTGTCAGCTCTCTGGGCTCGCTGCTTCCTGAATCTGCTGTCAAAACACGGAAGTAATCTCCTGTTCAGAGAGGGGAGGAGCTCGGCATAGAGAGAGAGGAAAAAGCACGCACTGTCGGGGGAGACTGGGAGAAACAGATGGAGACTGAGACACAAATACAGAGATAGAAAGAGACACAGAGGGACAGAGAGAAAGATACAGCGAGAGACGGAGAGAGATAGTGACGGAGTGAGAGAGACAGCGTGATAGTGACAGAGTATGAGAGAGAAAAGCAGGAACTAACGCACGTATGCGTGGCTTGCTGTCTAAAACTGACCTGGCCTTCAGTATCACCTCGCACCTCCTTAATCACACTTTCTGTCACTATGTCTGTCTGTCTCACTGTTTCACGATCTCTCTCTCTCTCACTGTTTCTGTCTGTCTCAATCACTCGAGCAATCTCTCTGTCACTGTTTCTCTGTCTTTCTCTCTCTGTGTCTCCTTCTGTCTCTTTGTCATTCTCAACTCTCTCTGTCTCCCTCTTTCTGTCTCTCTCCCTCTGTCTCTATCTCTGTCTTCATCTCTCTATCCCTCTCTCTCCCTCTTTGTCACTGCCACTGTCTGTTTCTCCCTCTCTGTCACTGTTGCTCTATCTCTGTAACCGTCTTTCTCTCTGATACTGTCTCTCCCTCTCTCTCTCTGTCTCTCTCCATCTGTCTCTAATTCTGTCTGAGTCCCTCTCTCTGTTACCATCTCTCTCTGTCACTGTTCTCTCAGTCTCTCTGTCCCTCTCTCTCTGTCACTGTCCTTCTCTCTGCCACTGTCTGTCCCCACCTCTCTTTCTCTGTCTCTCTCTGTCTGTCTCTAATTCTGTCTCTGACTCCCTCTCTTTCTCACTCTCTCTCTCTGTTACTGTCTCTCTCTGTCACTGTTTCTAACTCTCTCACTCTCTCTGTCTCACTTTCTTTCCCTCGTGGCTTAATCTTGTGCAGTTTTGGTGAAGTGTGAGTTGTGTTGTGTTGTGTTATTTTTGGGCAGATTCTCGCCATGAGTCCAAGTGAGTTTTCCCACTGTATAATAACACCATTTGCTTCTGACCTTGCCCCACTGTGCTTCTCTCTCTCTCTCTCTTGCCCAATTCTAGCCTCATTGCCATTCCTGGGACAACTCACCACCACCAAGATATCCTGGAATTCTCTGAGTTCCCATCCCCCTATGCCATCATTAAAACCCCTTGTCCACTTGGAAAAGCACTGTCAGCCCAGGACTTGCCCTCTGCCCTCCTGACATTTACCCCAGATGTGGTGGTGGTATTGTCCCTGGGCAGTGACCCAGAACTCCTGCTTGATGGTGTAGCTCAAAGCTGGAATGCTGTCTTCTTCCAGGACCAGCAAAGAAGGGCACAATCCCAGATTCATACCAACCCATTATCTGAATTTGTCCCCTGGGCCAGTGCTGGATGACTGGAATATGACGACGCAGAAGTTATGCTGCACTTATGCAAAACCCTGGTTAGACTCCGCTTGGAGACTGTGGGCACATCTGGGAGCATCTTAAGAAGGATAGATTGGCCTTGGTGAGTGTACAACGTAAGTTTACAAGAATGATACCTGGATTTCAGAGGCTATGTAATGAGGAGAGGTTATACAAAAGTGGCCTGTTTCCTCAAGAATTTAGAAGGTTAAGTGGTAATCTGATTGAAGTTTTCAAGCTATTAACAGGAAAAGAAAGGGTAGATAAACTAATTCCACTGGTTGGGTATTCTAGAACTAGAGGGCATTGTCTGTCAATTAAGGCCAGAATGTTCAGGAAAAATGTTAGGAAGCATTTCTACACAAAAAAAAGATGATAGAAGTCTGGAACATACTTCCACAAACAGCAGCAGATGCTGGATCAATTGTTCATTTTAAATCTGAGATAGATGCATTTTTGCTAAGCAAAGGTATTGATGGACATAAACCAAAGACAGGTATATGGAATTCAGCCATAATTAGCCATGATCTCATTGAATGGTGGAACAGGTTTGAGGAACTGCATGGCCTACTCCTGCTCCTATGTTCCTAAGAAGGCGAATGACCTCCTCAACTCCACCTGTATAAGTGCCATCATCTCCGCTCCAAACCTCTCACTCACTCCATCCCTGCTACTGCACCCATTGCCCACCACAGCTCTACCTCTCTCATTATTGCTTGATAAAATCTTCCCTCAATTACTCACAGCCGCCATTAACCCTGCCCTACTCACTCACTTGGGTCACTTCCCCTCCGAGACCGACAGCAACAGCAATGTCACCCACTTTCATCTCACTTCATACTGAGCTCTCTCTCATTCATCCACCTTGTTATGTGGAGAGGATCTTGAATCTGATGTCCCAAGTGGCTGACTGACTGTGTCCAAGCCTGCAGACTGGTATCAGCAGCTGCCCCTTGAATCACTTTTGTTGAATTACAACAATTACTCATTCCTGTCTGGAACTAATGTAAAAGATGAGCGGCCTCTCAATTGTGGCTCACAAACAAGCTCAGGGGTAGTATTAGATATAAAGAGGAGACATCTAAAGTTGCCAGAGAAAAACAGCCATTCTGAGAATTAGGAGTATTTTAGAATTCAGCAAAAGAGGATAAAAAGTTTGCTCAAGGAGGAGGGACTAGAGAATGAGTGTAAAATTGCAGGAGACATAGAAACTGACTGTAAAAACTTCTATTGATACGTGAAGGAAACTAGATTAGTCTTTAGAATAAAGGGCACAAATAACCTCCCAGAAATGTCAAAGGGCAGAATGGAGAGAAATCAGTATTAATAAGAGAATAGTGCTGGGAAATTAATGAGGTCAAAAGCTGATAGATCCCCAGAGGCTGATTATCCATATTCTAGAGTACTAAAGGAAGTGGCCCGGAAATACTGGAATTAAAATTTAAAGATGACAGCTCGCTATAAACTTCAGGTCAGCTCAGTATGGGTAATAAATGTTGAGATGGAGTGTTACACCAGCTCATCTGTTGCATCTGGATCCTCAGTCTGCCTTGAACTGTCTCTTACTTGAACCTATTCAATAGCATCCCCATCCCAAGAGCAGCATTGCATTGACGGTGTTTACAAGGTGGGTGCGCACAGGGTCAGATAGAATTGAGGGAGCTTTACTCTGAATTTAACCCAGTGCTGTATCTGTCCTGGGAGTGTTTGATGGAGCCAATGTCTCACCGCTTTGTTTTCTCTCTCTGTTTCTCTGCCACGTGGAGACACTTGTTGAGAGGACAAGTTAAGCTGAAAGGCTGTCGACAGATGAGAAATTGAAACATTGTCATAAGAAAGGAGATTAAAAGAAAACTGAGAGAATGGGAGGGGGGCCTGAGCTAGTAAAAAACACTTCTCATATTTCAGGAGCTTGGAGCCTGTTGGTGACAGGGATCTTTGCTGATGTGCATATGTAGCCCCAGGCTGCATGGGGTGGGGGGGTGGAGAGAGAGAGAAAGAGAGAGAGAGAGCTAAGAACAGAGAGGAGGGGGGACGAGTCTCCCATGCAGGTAGCGAGTGGAATGACAGTGTGAGAGAGGATGGGAGTTTTTTTGATGATGGGGTTGGAGGGGGGGAAGGGGAGTGGGTGTGTGGCAGTGAGGGAGGGAGTTGAGAGCAGTGGTACTGAGAGAGTGAGCAAGATACTGACGGAGGGTTCATAGAATCATAGAATCCCTACAGCATGGAAGCAGGCCATTCAACCCATCAGGTCCACACTGACTCTGAACAGCATCCGACCGAGACCCACCCTATCCTGTAACCCTGCATTTCCCATGGCTACCACACCTAGCCTACTCGTCCCTGGACTTTATGGGCAATTTAGCATGACCAATCCACCCAACCTGCACATCTTTGGACTGTGGGGGGGATAGTGGAGCACCGGATGAAACCCACACAGACATGGGGAGAATGTGCAAACTCCACACAGACAGTCGCCTGAGGGTGGAATCAAACCTGGATTTCTGGTGCTGTGAGGCAGCAGTGCTAACCACTGAGCTACCATGGAAGGCAGGAGAATGGGGTTGAGAAATATATCAGCCATGTTTGAATGGTGGAGTAGACTTAATGGACTGAATGGCCTAATTCCATTCCTATCTCTTATGGTCTTAGGCCTGTTTTCTCTCAGACAGTGATGACTCTTTGTAACTCCCGCCCTGAAACAGGCTGGGGGACATATTTCCAAAGTTGAGGGACATAGATTCTGGATGAGTGATGGCAAGGGCGGAGAGGTTATCAGGTGGGAATGTTGGTTTGAGGTTACGGTCATGGTGTTGTTGGATAGCGGAGCAGGCTCGAGGGGCTGAATGGCCTTGTATTGCTCCTAATGCGTTGGTACAAGTATGATCTTTACCTGTCCTAGGGCCTAGAGTGTGTCCATAACCCCCTCCTGCCACACCAAGCCTATGGATTGGGGGGCTCAGAGGTCAGGCAGCAGGCAAATTCCTGCTGTTCCAAGAACAACTGCAGAGAGTGAGCATCATTGTTGTGGTTTGATATATCTCCTGTCTGCCTCTCTCTCCCCCTTGCGCTCTCTGTCACTGTCTCAATCTGTCTGTCGCCCTCTGCGAGGAACGCAGCACACTTTGATGTCCAACATTTATCTCCATGTGGGGCTCATGTGTGAAGAATGAGAGACAGAGACAGAGAGAATGACAGAAAGTGAGAGAGGGAGAGTGAGAGAGACAGAGAATGAGAGAGAACCACACAGAGAGAGAAAGAGAGCAGGAGATAGAGGGACGGAGAGATAGTGGGAGGGATAGTTGGAGAGAGATAGAGGGAGCGAGAGAGAGAACTAGGGAACAGAGAGTGAGAGAAGGGTTGGGGGGTGAGAGAGAGATAGAGAGAGAGAGGAGAGAGAGTGAGAGATGTAGAGGGGGAAAGAGAACAGGAGAGAGAGAGAGTGAGATATAAAGGGAGGAGCAAGCAGGTGTGCGAGTGAGGGAATTAGAAAGATAGACAGGAAGGGAGCAGGAGTGTGAACAAGAGAAAGAGAAAATGGTAATGTTGGCAGGACTACTGAGTGCCAAACTTAATGGGGTGTGAGTCCTGCTGCCAGTAAAAACAAACACAAACCAGCACCTCATGCAAGTATAGCAATCTACACTTACATTTGGCCTCGATGCAGACAAGGGGAAAAAAAAATCCATAAGTGACTTGCTAGGGACCTAAACCAGATCCAAGTTTCACTCTGAGACTGGGAGGACATATTGAGACCATGTTGATAGG